GTTATGTAGATGATGGGAAACAAATACCTTGAAACCTGCCACTACATATTTCTTCACGGGTGTCAGTCCCCATTCTCTCTTGGTGATGATAAATGGAATATATACAAATGCTAGTTATATATATATATATGTGTGTGTGTCTATACATATATATAAATGAAATCCCTCCCCTGAAGCCAAGAGAGCTGAATACAAGGATTATGCAAACTGACTGTCTGAAACGTGGTATGCACAAAATGCTCAGTAGGAAAAACACACGTTCCCTTGGAGAAAAATTATCTAGAAGATAAGTAACCAATTAACCAATGCTTACAAAGATAATTAAACAAGTGATGTTTAACTTGTACCCCCTTTGATCCTTCAACCTATTCAAATTACATATTTAATCCTATAATTCAAGTCAAAGTATATAAAAAGTTATGGAAAGTGATTTTGTTAAAGATTTATTTTTATTATTTTTTTTATTGGAAAGGCAGATATACAGAGAGGAGAGACAGAGAGGAAGATCTTCCACCAGATGATTCACTCCCCAAGTGAGCGCAACGGGTCGATGCTATGCCGATCCGAAGCCAGGAACCTCTTCCGGGTCTCCCACGCGGGTGCAGGGTCCCAAAGCTTTGGGCCGTCCTTGACTGCTTTCCCGGGCCACAAGCAGGGAGCTGGAAGGGAAGCGGGGCTGCCGGGATAGAACCGGCACCCATATGGGATCTTGGGAGTGCAAGGCGAGGACCTTAACCACTGTGCCAGCGCGCCGGGCCCGGAAAGTGATTTTTAATTTAAGTGAATTTTATTTTGGTGTAACACATGTTGAAATCTACACATAGTCTTTTGGTAATATGCATTTTCCAGGATTATGAAAGATAGCATCAAAAAAGTGTATAATTTCAATGTCATTTTCCATGAACCTTTTTTATCTACCCTTATGTATGGAATGTGCATTCTTTCACATTGCAGAACTTCTCACAGTCCTTTGGTGGATTCTTTCTAAATTTCTATATTCAAGATCATGTCATCTACACAGACAGTTTAATGCACTTTCTTCCAATCTGGATGCCTTTTTACTTCATTTCTCTTGCCTCTTCTGAGATGTGTATGCCTCTCGGAAAATAAAGGTTGGGCCCAGCACGATGGCTCAGAAGTTGAATCTTTGCCTTACACACCGGGATCCCATGTGGGTGCCATTGTGTCCCGGATGCCACACTTCTCATACAGTTCCTGATTGTGGCCTAGGAAAGCAGCAGTGAACGGTCCAAAGCCTTGGGAACCTGCACCTGTGTGGGAGGCCTGGAAGAAGCTCCTGGCTCCTGGATTAGGATCAGCCCAGCTCCAGTTATTGTGGTCATTTGGGAACTGAACCAGCAGATGGAAAATCTTTCTCTCTGTCTCTCCTTTTCTCTGTAAATCTTCTTTACCAATAAAAATAAATAAATCTTATTTTAAAACAGAAAATAAATCTATTTTCCCTCAAAAATTTTAACTAGTTACACAAATATTATTTCTGTAAAACATATTCTCACTACTGGTCAGAAATGTTTCGCACACACTAAGAGCTTGTATATTTCACTATGTTGGTGGGTGCCCTCTCTTATATTTTTATTGCTACACTTATTCCAGTACAACACTATGTTGATTTAAATTTTTAAAAAAAAAAAAAACATGCTTTACTTGAAAATCAGAGCTAAAGTGAGAGAGAATCTTCCTTGCACTGGTTCGCTCAATGACTACATTGTCCAGAGCTGGACCAGTTTGAATCCAAGAGCCAGGAGCTTCTTCAGGGTCTCCAACATGGGTTCAGGGTCCCAAAGACTTGAGCCATCCTCTGCTGCTTTCCCAAATCATAAGCAGAAAGCTGGATCAGAAGTGAAGCAGCCAGAACTTTAACTGGTGCCCATATGAAATATCAGCACTGCAGGTTGAGAAATAGCTTGCTACAAAGTGCCAGCCCCAAGATTTCTTTTTTAATTTATTCTTTTTTTTTTTTTCAGTTGGAAAGGCATATTTACAGAGAGAAAGGCAGACAAAGAGAAAGATCTTCCATCCACTGGTTCACTCCGCAAATGATCACAACAGCCAGAGCTGAGTTAATCCAAAGCCAGGAGCTTCCTCCAGATTTCCCACAAAGGTGCAGGGTCCCAAGCCTTTGGGCCATCCTCTATTGCTTTCCCAGGCCACAGGTAGGGAACTGAAAGGGAAGTAGAGCAGCCAGGACAGGAACCAGCGCCAGTATGAGATCCTGGCACATGCATGACATGGATTTAGCTATTGAGCCATCACGCAGCCCCCTCCAAGATTTCATTTTATGTTATTCTGCCACCTTGGAAGTGTGAGTTCCATCACCAGAGATAAATGAAATGGCATCCCAGATAAGCTGGCCAGCACAACTCCTAACATACAAGTGGTTTCCTCTGGAAGGACAATGCGACTATATACTTTGTGGCTGTTTTTGTATACCCATCACAGTGACACCATTCATGAGGATGGTTGATTGTTAATAAATAACTAATAATAAATACTTAATTTTACCATGTATCAGTAGTCAATATCTGTTGATTGCCACACGCGGTGATGTTGATTGCCACACACGGTGGCCTAAAGATGGCGCCTGGCGGAAATAAACACGTCAGCAGGAGTAGCTCCTGTCACGTATATTGGAGAGTATTGCGCAGGCGCTTGCACATGCGCTGAGGGCTGACGCGTGAACAGCGGCGTGATCAGCGCGTGCACAGGCCTCTTGCCCTATCCAAACTGCAGGATTGGCGCGTGGTCTAGAGGCTCACCAATAAGCCGCCACTTGGGCGGAGCCATCCCCGATAAGAGCGAGAGCACGAGCTGGGTCGGGGCCTTCCTCTTCATCATCTTGGTGTGCACAATAAAGACTACCGCGGAAGACTTCACTCGCGTCTGCCTCTTATTGCGGGTCGATAGGAGCGTGGGCGTGACAAATATCTAAGAGTTAATTCATTTTACAAACCAAGTACTCAAAGATGCTAGAATACAAAGTATTCTATGAGGATTATAAAATCATGACGTTCTATTTTTTTCTATTATAAACTCAGCAATGAGATCACTATTGTAGCCTCAATAATAGGAAAAAACAAATGTTTGAGAAATAAAATTTCTTTGGAGAGTTTTAAAACCAAATATTTTAAAATATAAGGTTCTGTACTAGTATTTTAATTATCTTTATGTATAAATATTAAAAGTGGATTTACTTCTAATATCAAACATTTTATTTTTAAACAATTTATAAAGTTGGTTTTCAAGGGACTGACACTATAGTATAGCAAGCTAATCCTCTACCTGCAGTGTTGGCATCTCCTATGGGCATCAGTTCAAGTCCTAGCTGCTCCACTTCCAATCCAATACAATCCAACTCACAACTGATTGCCTTGGAAAGCAGTGAAGAATTACTCAAGACTTGGTTCCCTGAACTCACATGGAAGACCCAGAAGAAATTCCTGGTTCCTAGCTTCAGATAGGCCCAACTCTAGCTGTGGCAGCCTTATGAGGAATGAGCCAACAAATGGAAGATCTTTCTTGATCTCACTCTCTCTTGATCTCTCCTTCTCTCTCTGTAACTGTCTTACAAATAAAAAATGAGTGAATCATTAAAAAGATCTTTCAAGGGACCAGCACAATAACTCAATTGGTCTAGAAGAGCCAGCATGAGTGTTGGTTCATGTCCCAGCTGCTCTACTTTCCATTCAGCTCCCTGCTGTGGCCTGGGAAAGCAGTAGAGAATGGCCCAAAGGCTTGTGACCCTGCAACCATTTGGGGGACCCAGAAGAAACACCTGGCTCCTGGCTTCTGATTGGTTCACCTCCAGCCATTGTAGTCATTTGGGGAGTGAACCAGCAGATGAAAGATCTTTCTGTTTGTCCTTCTCTCTGTAAATCTTTCTTTCCAACAAAAATAAATCTTTTAAAAATGTTTTCAAAATTTGATTTTCAGCAAAATTCACTAACACACTAAACAAAAACAGGGGAGAGCACCTATGGTCCCAAGCCCTCAAGAAATCTGCTAGAGATGTTCATGTAGTCAAATCTATCAATATTTTCTTTAATCATTCAGACTTTAACTATAGATTAGTATTACAATATTTTATATTACATATGCTTATGCACTACTGTATTATATTATGCCACATTATAGATTATATTTAATACATATAATATGTATGCAATTACATATATTCAATATATTACTATTTTCTGCACCAAAACATTTTGTGCAGATGGACTACTGCCTAATAACAAATGGGTACACAACACATGGGTATGGGAAGGAAGTCAGACAACAATCATCTGTGTTTTGCTGAGATTTCAGGATGTGTAGCGGAATGGGACAGCTTACAACCAGAACATCAAATCTTCAATGTGGTGCCATCATGAAGAAGGTGGAAGCAGGTCAGTTAAAAGCTGGGCACCTTGTTTGATTGTTAGGGTGCATATTTGCTCTTCCTACTTAGTTAAGGGGCAACAGACAAGAAGAATGTTGCAGAGGCTCTATTTTGGCTTCCTGCGTGCTTGCTGCAAAACTTGTGGGATACAGCTCAGTCCTTACACATGGCTATTGTCCCTTGTATAATCCTACTTTTCCACCTAAAATAAATTAATCATTCTCTTCTTTTACTTTGGATTTTTCATTACTATTATTCATTAGAAAACATACCCTTGTGTGTGTAAATAAGTAGGGTCAATTTCATTTGGGGGCATTTTTTACTACATTTTTTTGGAATTTAAGATCAACATTAAGACTCCTTTCCCTGGCTAGCCCAATCCATTCACACACAAACACACACACCCCACCCCTTTGTAGTTTTCACTAAAAATCTTTCTTCGACCAACTTCCCAACAAGAGCAAAAATTAAAGAGCCCAAGAGGTGTGGGCTTACCTACTCCGAGGGAGCTGCTGCGGAGCTGGCAGGCGCGCTCGAGGAGGCGGGGCGCCGAGAGGTCGAACTCTGGTCCTGCGGCGCTCACGTGACCCGCCGGGCAGAAGTGAGCTGCAGTTTGGGTGTCAGCCCTCCTTGCCGACAGTCGGATCTTGTAGCTGTATTCTTCATTACCTCGGCTCCTGATTGTCCTCTGGCTGTTTTCCTGGTCAGTGTGAGTACCTTGCACGCTGCCAGAGGAATCGGTGGGGTGGGGGAGGGGGACGGGTATAGGGTCGGGGCGAAGGGTGGGGGTGGGGCTCGCGTCGAGGGAAGCTCGCTCCGTTGAGGAACGGAGATAACCGTAGGAAACGGGTTATGAGGGTGACCGAGGGTGAGCGAGCTGTCGGTGAGCAAGTGGGTGGGAGGGCAGACTCTCCCAAGTATCCATGCCAGCTTTCTAGGCACTTCTCTGCCCTCCGTCCATTTTGGAGCCTCAGATGGTGGGCTGAGAGGCACCCCAGCAGCTAGAGTTGAAATAAACCCCCTTCTACGTTCGGTGAGTGGAGAAGGTGTTCACCGCCAGGTTGTGGAGGCAAGTTGCCCCCCAGGAGAGGAGGATGCAGCGGGCCAAACACAGCTTGGAAAATATCGGGTCTGGCACCGGAGCTCTGACAAGAAATGGCGGCCGGCCCGCAGGGGTGGGTGTAGGGGAATTGGGGAGGAAAACACAGAGTAAGTAGGACTGTGTTTAGGAAAGGACAAAGTGCGCGAGAGGCCACGGAGCGCGCAGCCCCTGCCCCTGTGCCCTGCCTGCAGGTCTACACGTCATTGGTTCCCAGCACCTCTTGAAGCCTGAGAGCAGGAGCAACCTGTGAGGACCCCCTGCAGGTCAGTGACAGGGGGAGGCCTGGAGGAGACCCAGAAGAGTCTCTGGTGAGCAGGGCCCTGTCTGGGCCAAATGCGGGTCCCGCCACCTGAGCCCCCTCTCCACCATTCAGGAGTCCTGTCCCACTGAGATGGATTGGAGCAGGTGGCAGCGCCTGCCAGGCCCTTGGTGGCTCAGACATGAGGGGCAAGGAGTGGGCAGAGGGCACACCTGGAGCACTCCCCCACCCCAGGAGGTGGGATGCAAGCCAGTCGGCTGTGCACCTGCTGTGTATGTCCCCACCTCCTGAGTCTTCCCTGTGTTTCTTTGTCTCCTCCCCTCTGCCCCTGCCCCCAGGAGAAGGAAGGTCGTCTCACCATGGAAACTCTGCACACTGAGGACGAAGGCATGCCTTCCAACCAAGGAATGACTGAGAGCAGACAGCCACAGGCTTCGGGAAATCCAGAGGCAACTAGTACTCTGGAAGACAAGGACGAACTCGGGAATAAGGGAAAGACAGAAGTTAAGCAAATGCTCCTGGAGAAGGGAAAGCCTGAGAGTGAGGGAAAGGCCAAGGAAGGCGAGCCGGGGAGTGAGGGAACCGCAAAAGAGAAGGGTTCCGCAAAGCTGGAGCCAGAGACCAGGGCTGCAGAAAAGCGCCCGGCCGAGGACGATGTACCCAGGAAAGCCAAAAGAAAAACCAACAAGGGGCTGGCTCAGTATCTCAAGGAGTATAAAGAGTCCATACACAGTATGAATTTCAGCAATGAGGACATGATAAGAGAATTTGACAACATGGCTAGGGTGGAGGATGAAAGGAGAAAATGCAGACAGAAACTGGGGGCTTTTGTGTGGATGCAAAAAAATTTACAGGACCCCTTCCACCCGAGGGCCCCAACGGATTTCAAGGGTGGCTGCAAGGCCCCACGAAGGGACCTTGAAGACATTCCTTATGTGTAGTGCCCCTACAGCCGTTTGTCAAGTCCTGTCCTTTAACCTTATGCTAATTATCGGCTTTAGATGTACTACCTGTTACCAGTACCCTGTTTGACCCAAGTGCAGTGTTATAAAATTCAGTAACAAATTTTCATTGATTGCATGTGGAAAATGTTTATAGTGTGCTGTAAAACAAACAAAAGGTCACACATACATACAACATGTAAAATCATATATAGCATCAGTCCAATTTTGCGAAACTACAAAGATTAATTTGCCTAGTCAGCTGTAGAAAGCAACTCTAAGTTTCACTCACTAGAACATTAACAGTACTTATCTGTGGGTGATGATTTTATCATATCCTTTTATGTTTATCTGTGTAGTTTGTCCTAAAATAATTACTTTTGTGCTAAAATAATAAGAAAGTAGAAAATATATAACCAACCAAAAGTAGTGTCCAGTGACTTTAAGCAAGGAAGTGGAGATACTTAAAATTATTGTTGTCAGAACATAAAATCTCTAGGCAAATGTCGCCTTATTTCTGGGACTTAAAGATGGAGGAATCAGCTCCTTTGCTGCAGGAGCAGACTTGTCGTCTGAGACCTGAGGATGAAACTTGCCTCCTGGGACTGTGGAGGACATCAAATGAGGGACTAAGTGTGTGAGCTGTGATGGGCCAGCTGCTACCGGCTTCCCTGCACTTGCAGAATCAGTCCTCCGTCAGGCACCTGAGCAGGCCTGTGGGAGGTCTCCCCCGTGCTCACCACCGAGTAGTGCAGATCACTGAGAGATGGGTGCCACCCTATCCCAAGCAATGTCACCTCTGGTGGACAAGATGCCTCTGCTTGTGGATCCTGTATGGCCTCCTAAGGTCCCTATTGCTGTCAGTGCACTAGAGTATGATGGACTGAAGCAACAGTGTGTCCCCAAAAAAGGGGTAAAGAATTCTTCTCTGCTTACAGTAGAGTTTTGCTAACCCAGGTGGGTAATGTCCAATTGTCACTGGGGCCCTGACACTTCGTATAAAATTCGTACAAACACTCTTTTCCGTGTTGTTTCTTGATATGCATGTGTGGTTTGGGTTTTTGTGGCTTTTGTTATTGTTCCTTTTTTTTTTTTTTATCTAGATATGACCACTAACCTTAGATATTGGAGACTGAGAAAAGAGGGAAAAAAATGTAAAGCCAGATGATGTGCTATTTGCACTTGTTAATCTCTTGTCTGCTAACATTTTTGTTTTCCTTAGGAGTTGTCTCCCAGGAATTTCCTGTTAAGCCCTGCATTAGTATTTCTCAATATTTCAAAAGATTCTTCCACTTAGATAATTTCCCTCCACCTATCCTTAGCTGCTTTTCCCTAGCTTTTTTTTTTTTTTTTTTTTCGCAAATGAAGTTCTCTTAAATGAACTTTCCTGTTAGGATGATTGTAGATTTACAGAAATGTTGCAAAGATAATCAGTTTCTACGTACTACATAGTCATGACCCCCTACTGTTAATGTCTTACCTTACTGTGGTGCATTGTTTTTGATGAACTGATATGAATAAATTATTATTAACTAAGACACATACTTTGTTCTGATTTACCTTAATGTGCTCTTTCTATTCCAGGATTTTACTCATGTTACCACATGGCATTTAGTCACCATGTCTTTTCTCCATAGGCTCCTGTTAGCTGGGAGAGTTTTGACTCTTCTTGTTTTTGATGATCTTCACACTTTTGAGACGCACTGGTCAGGTATTTTGTATGATGTCCCAAAATTTTGGTTTACTTGATTTTTTTTCTTGTCATTACAAAGATATTATGTGTTTGGGGGAAGATTTTATAAAGGGTATAAACTAAATATTACATATCGCTGTAGATGTTAAGTGTGGTCACCTTACTGAAAAAGTGTTTGGGAGGATTCTTCATGAGAAAGTTACTCCTTTATTTTTTTTTTCTCCATTTCATTGTGAACTCTTTGGAATAAAGTCACTGTTAGCAGCACACATGTTTTGTTTTGTTTTGTTTTTAAAATTTGTTTTACATTTTTGTTGGTGGTGGTGGTGGAAAGGCAAATATACAGAGAGAAATCTTCCATCTAATGGTTTAGTCCCCAAGTGGTCATAATGACCAGAGCTGAGCTAATCTGCAGCCAGGAGCCTGGAACTTCTTCCACGTCTCCACATGGGTGCAGGGTCCCAGGGCTTTGGGTCATTCTCCACTGCTTTCCCAGGCCACAAGCAGGGAGCTGGATGGGAAGTGGAACAGCTGCAATGCGAACCAGTGCCCATTTGAGATCCCTGCCATGCAAGGCAAGGATTTAGCCACTAGGCTATGGCACTGGGCCTGGCAGCACACTTTTTTTGGCCCCACTGTAGTTTTTATTATCTATTTTTAATTTTAGATGATGTTAATATAGTTGATCAGAGTGGGATGGATAAAGGGTTAGGAAAAAGTGGATGTGATCATTGTTTCCAAATTTCCTATTTCTCCTTCTTGTTTTGGGGGGGAAAAGGGGAAGGATAAGGGAAGAAGCCATATCCAGCCTTTCAACTGCTCCAGAACCTGGGGATGGAGAATGGCCACTCGATATCAAGCCAGGGTCCCAATGTGGTGCATACTCCGAGGGTTCTGCCCAGGTGGTTTCGATAATTCTGTAACGTTGCCAATCTTGCCTATTTAAGGCTGAGGGAACCCTTTCAACTTCTATTGGCTAACGTAGTTGGCCTCAGAGTCTCCATTCACCCAGATATTTGCTGGGGTAGTTACCAATTTGTTCTGTCCTCCTTTCTGTGGGATGGTACAGATATCCTCTGCAGCGTTCAAAGGGCTGCCATATCCTCCATGTGGGCCAGCTGTCCAGTACTCTAATCCACTGAGGAGGACCAGTTCTCGCAAGTGGGCCAAGGACCCTAACCAGGTGACCTGGACCCTACTGAACCCACCACCCCCAATGGTCATGGACCTGGCACCCACTGTAAAGGTGTGCTAAGGACCCAGGCCAGGCAACCCAGGACCCACCAGACTCCCAGCCTCTGGAGCTCAGGGACCTAATTTCCACCACACAGGCAGGCCAAGGACCCCGGCTTGGCGATTCGGGTCCTGCTGGACTCCTGTCCCCAGGACTCACAAACCCAGCACCCACCATGCAGGTAGGCAGCACACATGGTAAAAAGGATCATTATATATCATTTTGGCAGAGTACCTACAAAATCTTTTGCACAGGAGATTTGACTTTTCCCACCTAATTTTTTTATTCGATTTATTTTAGCATCATTTTATGACTATTTTATACTTTGGATTAGAAAATAATACTATTTTACATAATTTGTTGCTCAAATTGCTCCAGCTTTGTTCATGAGGGTGCTCTTTCAGTTAGTTTTTGCATTACTTTGATATATTTCCATTGTATTGTAGACTTGTATTTTTATTTGAAAGGTAGCATTACAGAGATAAGACGAGAGAGTGAGAAAGAGAGAAATCTTCCATCCACCAATCCTTGGCCTGCTGGTTTACTCCTCCAGTGGCCACAATGGTCAAAGCTGGGCCAGTCCAAATTTAGGAGCCAGGAGCTTCTGGGTCTACTATGTGGGTACAAAGTCCCAAACACTTTGGGCCATTTTCCACTGCTTTCCCAGATGCATTAGTAGAAAGCTGGATTGGAAGTGGAGCAGTCAGGACTCAAACCAGCACCTATTTGGGATGCTGGGGCTACAGGTAAAGGCTTAGTGTGCTATGCCATGGTTCCAGCTTCATATTATGAATTTTTTATATTACTTTCTTACTTTCTGGCATTACAAGAGGTAGTAGCCCTCTCATATAGATGTTCTGCCCAGAACTTAGCCACTTCTCTAAGGACCTCTGGTATCTGTTGTTGTAGTGTGGCATTACAAAAAGATGAAAGTGGATGGTGTTTAGCTTTATTGTTTTGATGCAATTAGTGGGCCAACATGCTAATCCACACTGTGATGTCAGAATCCCATGTGGGCATCAGTTTGTGTCCTGGCTGTTCCACTTTCCATCCGGCTTCCTGTTTGTGGCCTGAGCAGAGGATGCCCAAAGTCCTTGGGCCTATGCACCCACGTAGAAGAAGTTTCTAGCTCCCAGCTTCAGATCAGCTTGGCTCTGGCAATTGTGGTCATTTGGGTAATGAGCCAGTGGATGGAAGATCTCTATCTCTCCTCTCTGTAAACCTTAAATAAGAATAAATAAATCTTATAAAACGATGCCTGTATCCCATGTTGGCCCAGTGCCTACCTCTGACTCTTTTGGCTTCAGCTTTCAGCTAATTCAGAGCCTGGGATATAGTGGTCATGACTCAAGTAACTGGCTTCTACCACCCACATGAGAAACCTGTATTGAATTCTTGGTTCCTAGCTTACTCCTTGCCATTTGGACATCATTGCTTGTAGGCCCTCTCAGTTGACAGAGAAAACAGATATATGCTTTTTTTCTTGACTATGTGTTTGTGTACATCTATGGGTATAATAAAATATATGTAAAAATAAACTATATAACAATGTGTGTGTGCACATACACACAAACCTAAACATTAGTTTATGAAGGTATGAACAACTTATGTTATCACTTGAATCATTCTAGACTTCTTTTATTTGCAGGGCAGAGTGGAAAAGAGGGAGAGACAGAGAAAGATGTGTTCATGGGGAGGAATGGTGGTGGGGAAAGCTAATCTGATTAAGAAGTGGGGCAGTGCCTCGATAGAGGAAGCTGGCATCTCAGGCAGCAGCTTAACCGGTTGTTTGAAAGTGTGAAATTTCTCTACCCTCCTTGTCTTTAGCCTGTCATTCCAATTACAAGAAATTTGTCACCCACCATCCTGTTCATTGTTTAATTCCTGTTTATCTGTGCAGTGTTTTTAAAATGTGGTTTGAAAGTTTGTTAATTATAGCAAATAAGTGCATTAACTAGACTAGACTGAAATGTATAGTTCATTTTTCTTTTTGTCTTAGAAATTTTCCTCATTTCCAGATTTACCTATGTCAGCACCTTGTTGTTCCCATCCCCTTACATGTTTCATACACTTAAAATCCAGTTAGAGTCTTTTGCTATGTTCTCTATGTTAGGAATGCAATTATAAGCAGTCCTTTAAGATTTCACATGCCGCTTCTTCATTGCTAGTATATGGGAGATCTGTTGACTTCTATATATTATGTTATCTAGAGAATTTGCAGCCAAAAGTTTATCAGTTCTTTGGCATTTCCTACATAGATAATAATTTTCTCTGCTAATGGACAATTTTCTTTCCTTCTCCATATATTTCTGCTTTTTTCCTCTCCTTTTTTGGTATTCATTTTATGTGGAAGGCTGAGACACAGAGAGAGAGACAGACAGAGATCTCCTATCTACTAGTTGGCCTCAAAAACCAGTAATGGCCCAGGCTAGGCCAGTCTGAAGCCAGGATCCTGGAACTTCATATAGATCTGTTGTGTAGATGGGAGGAACTCAAGTGCTTGAGCTGTCAGCTGCTGCCACCCTTGGTATGAATTAGCAAGAACCTTGATCGAAAACAGAGTAGTCATGAATTGAATTCAGCACTCACATCTGAGATACCAGCATCCAAGCAGCATTCTGATGGCTGTGTCAAATGCCATACATACCATTCTTACCATACCAGATAGGAATTCCAGTGTTATAAGTAATGGGAGCAATGCACAAGGACAAACATGCCTGTTCCTAATCTTCTAAGGGGGAAAGTAGGATGGCAGTTAGGTACAGTGGTTAAGATACTACATGGTATGCCTGGGTTTGAGTTTGATTCTTGCCCTTTTGGCTAAGATCAAGTGAGTTCTGCTTCTGCTTCTGTTGGCAGCTTCGTACTAATATGCAGCATGGGAGGCAGCCTGAGATGGCTCAAGTATTTGAGTCCCTGATGCCTATATGGGAGATATAGATGCTACTTACTGGCTTCAGCATGGTCTATTTGGAGAGTGAACCAATGGATGGGAGATTTCTATCTGAATGTCTGTCTCTTTCTCTGCCTTTCAAATAAATGAAAAATATTGTCTTAAATTTAAAGGTTTTGTAAGATTTTTTGACTGTATCTGAAAGACAGAGTAACAAAGAGAGATAGAAAGAGAGGACAAGACAGATATTTCTGTCTGCTCTCCTAAATGGCTACAACAGCCAAGTCTGGGCTAGGTCAAAGCCAGCAGCCAAGAATCCTTTCCTGGGAGCTGATGCTGTGTTATATTGGGTTAATCTACTGCCTGCAGCTTGAGTAACCTATGTGGGCTCCAGTTTGAATTCTGGCTGCTCCATTTCCAATTCAGCTCCCAGGTAGTGAACCTGAGAAAGCAGCGGAAGATGGCACAAATGCTTGGGTCCACGAACCCATGTTGAAGACCCAGAAGAAGCTCCTGGCTTTGCCCTGGCCTGACTTAGGCCTTTGAGGTGATTTGGGGAGTGAATCTCATTGACTCCATCTCCCTCTGTAATTCCTCCCTCTCTATAACTCTGCCTTCTAACTAAATTTTTAAAGAAAAAATAACCCTGTCTAGGTTCTAGCATGGGGCCTAAATATTCAGACCCTCTTTTGCTGCTTTCCCAGGCTTGCTAACAGAGTT